AAAAAAAACTAATAGGTAGGTTTAAAATTAATAAATACAAATGTATTTTGACAGTGAATGAGTTAATTATGCTTTCTATTTGCAAAATTCCTCAACCTTAACACAAAATAAGAAAAAAAGTGAATTTTTAAGAAATTTGTGGGATTTCCCGGGATAAGAAAAATTTCCCGGGTTAAAAAAACAACCGGGATCCCGGAATCCCGTTTGAGAAACCCTACTCATGATTATACCACATATATTTTTGTTGAAACGTTCACACACCGAGTTGGAACAAGGTCTGTAAGCCGTGGTAATGTGCTTAATTGAGAGCTCGTTGTACACCTCCTCCAGGAGTCTGGAGGTGAAATTAGCCCCTCAGTCAGATATGATTAAGTCAGGACACTCATATCTGCATATGAGGTAATCAAAGATTCCTTTAGCTATCGTGCAGGCAGATTGATCGGGTATGGGAATGGCCTCTGCATACCGCGTGAATATATCAATAATAGTAAGTATATATCTATTACCATCTTGGGACACAGGGAGAGGACCTACTATATCAGTCGCAACCTTCTGAAAGGGAAAGTTAGAAGTTTCTGTTTCTTGAAAAGGGGCACGTCCCCTATGCAGGTTATGTTTTTGATATATCTTACACCTTCTTATGACCTGTTTAACTCGATTTTTCAGATCTCTTATGTAATAGTACCTATCAATAAGATTACAAGTCTTCTCCGCACCCAGGTGCCCAGAGAGAGGAGAGCTGTGGAATGACCAGATTACTTGATCCATTATTTCCTCACCTACGCAAACACGTACCTTGTTCTTGAGCCCCATTCTTCCTGGCTTTACGTGCACAATCATATCATTTTCCATCATGAACTCAGGGTGAATCCCCCCGACTAACTCGTTATGCTTGCGTCTTTGTAACTTGCGGTTATTCCGCATCTGTTTAAGAAACTCGTCTCCCCATTGGGATGCAACTACCTTTTTCCAAATCTCATAGTTATCAACCACACTACTACATACTGTGCTGCCCCCCTTTTGGATAATTTTAGCCGCGGTATGTTCTGTCAACTTCCTCACCCCATCGATGATTTCATAAAGATTATTTATCACGTCCATGCCTAATATGCCATTGAAATCAATGTGTCCCGGTAAACGCATGCAGGCAATTGTCACGCTGCACGTCTGGTCTTTGTATCTCACCTCAGTTCTTATGGTCCTTTCACACTTGGTGGTGCTACCATTTATGCCTCTTATCCTTACATTCTCGTTTTCTGGGGTGGCTCTAACTACCTTACCTTCAGAGATACTCTTCATCGACCTTAGGTCTAATATGGATTTCTCTGCCCCCGTGTCGATCAAAAAAGAGAATTTTATACCTTCCACCTCACCTTCAACAAAGGGGAGGCACTTTCGCGACAGTAGAATCTTATTAGCCAGACTGATCTTAATGTAGGAAGCGTTGGGCTGACCTCTATGATTTTCCTGACTTAGTTTTAAATTATCGTTCGCTCCCTTTGGGCACCTACAGGAGAAGTGCCCTATTTTCCCACACGTGTAACATCCTTTGTTGGCCCTTCTTGGCCCTTGGTCCTTACTATTTAACAGCTTACTTATAGCTTCGGTTAACGCGTCAATTTTTCTTCCTAACTTTTCTATCTTATCGTCGCACTGACCCCTACTTATTTCTACTTTCTCACATTCTTTTACTGCTGTATTAGTTGTCCCTTCAATTGCTGAACTAACAGCCCTCCCTTCATAACGGCCACTGCCCTCGGCCTCAATCGATTTCTCTGCTGAAGCAATCTCGAATGCCTCGTCCAAAGTTTTTGGGGTTTTTCTCATTACATTACTCCTTATGACCCCTCTCAAACCCCTTATGAAACGTTTCAAGATTATATCGTCTTGTAATAAACTTATATTTTGGTGACTTATCGCCGCCCTGGCAAGTAAGGTCCGTGTACGAACTGAATAATCTGTCACCGATTCATTATTCCCTTGTTTTATGGACATTAATTGATCTATTATATCTCTGTCACCCACCTCCTTCTTACTAAAGCATTTTATCAGGTCCCACTTAATATCCATATATGACTCAGGGTATTGTTCAAGTAAGCACATAAATGTTTTTAATGGTTCACCCTTTAGTCTCGATTGTAGCATGGCCACCTTAACCTCATCGTTCCAACCTGCTAGTCGCGCAATCTTATCAACCGTACAGAAAAATTGTTTCACGTTCACTACATCGCTTTGTAATCCTGAGAACATGGGTATCATACCCAGGAACCCTGTTACGACCAGTGGTGAGCCGGGGATAACACTTTCACTGGAGTTCGAACTTTCCACTGAATTACTAGTGGCCATTATAACAAAAGAAAAATACTATACTTATATATAATAGGCAATTAACAACAGGTAATCACACACTTACTTCTAGTCACCGATTTACAAAATATCAAGAACTGTGCACCCTCACTATAGTTGGGATCCTGTCGCGGGCACCATTGTGGTGGTGTGGAGGACAAATAAATGGATGACAAAGAAGTAACTATAAATTAAACAGGATTTTATTTAACTACGGTTACTTGGTCCTTTTTACACCTGGTTCATTTACAATTAACACACCTGATCCCAAACTATAGTACGCACATAAGTTCAATACTGTCCGACATTCTTTATGTTATCACAGGCAGGAGACACGTGTTCGTGACAATGAAAAATTATGGTTTGAGAGATATTACAACTAACTTAAATTACCTTAATCTAACTTATATACTAAGGAAGAAGGGTGAAGAAAATAAGATATATGAAGAGAAGAGACAAGTATAAAGGACAGATTTGTAGGGGTACCAGGGTAAAACTTGGCAGTCTCTGATCTTCTCTATATTGGAACTTGAGTCAATTTCCTTCCTCTTATTTCCATTTCTTGAGAATCCAAAGCGTTCTTGAAGCCTTAATCTGGGTGTCCTTCTATTTCGTCTGCTCACAGACAACTTCCAAGCCTTCTCCTTTTGTCCCACTAGGCGACAAACTTTGGCTGGTTCTTTCCTACGTCTATTCACCTCGAATGCTGACCCAAAAAGTGTCCTGTTCATTTTACTGATGGCCTCAGGGCTTCTTAGTATCCCCTTTGTCTTCTCCCTTCGTCCTTGGACAAAGGTTGTCCCCCACCCGTAGAAAAAGAATAGATTAGAAAGTTCTAGAAACAGACGTTAAAGACAAAGGAATTTAGGAAGAATAAAACTTATATCTACTCCTATGTACAAAGACATGGCATACCGCCACAGGTGAATACCGTGAAATTTATAATGCATAAATAAATTTTATTTCATAAGAAAACAATACTAAATATTGAATAGCAGAAAATACAAGGGTCATTCTAAAAGTAAAGAACGTTTGTTTCTCTAGATATTTTTATTTAAGATAATGAAACAAAACTTATTTTACAACACATATGACACCATAGCTATATTTCTACATACTCTATGACAAATGTTTAAATTTGTATGGAGACTATCATTAACTTTTCTATGCTTCTGCACACTCAGTTACCGCCAAGTTCTTGAACCAGTCGTTAACGGCCTCTTTCAGTTCGTTGTCACTTCCATAGTGATTCCCGGCTAAAAAAATCCTTCAATTGTGGTAAAAGATGTAATCACTCAGAGCCTAGTCCTAGCTATAAGAATTATGTTCAAAAACTTCCCATTTAAACTGCTGAAGCAAGTTCGTCGTCAACGCAGCAACATGCGGACATGCGTTATCCTGAAGAAACACAATGTCTCTGGACAACAATTCCCACCATTTGTTTCGAACAGAAGCTTCATTCATGACATTACCATAAACCTTGGTTATCTGTCTGTAAATTTCGATAGAGCAGACTTTTTTCGCATTCAGAAAGCGTATTACACTACAAACCTCATACTTGGCGGAATCTTTAATTTTGTCAAACATTTCAGAGTCACACTGTAAACAGTAAACAATCATTGTGGCTTGCTGTTAGCATCAGACTGACATGAAAACATGGGAAGGTCCATGACATGGCAGTGGAGGGTGGTGGGAGAACTGCACGGCTTGTCAGATCAAAATGTTCTTTTCTTTTAGAATGACCCTCGTAATATTTATAAGTAATTTTAAGTCTTGACATTATGATAAATAAACAAATAATATGAGTTGATTAGATTTTATAAATTATATCTAGATATGTAATCAATACCAATCTGATACTGATATATTGGCATATCAGAATGTTCCCAATATATTAGAATCAGTTATTTTACAATGATACTTCAATCTTCTTTTCCTTATGATAGACATCTTTTCCATCATTTTGCAATAGCAGACATTCAAATACAGTGATAGACATAACATACTATAAAAGTAATATAGATGATAACAATGTCAAGTAATGAATGTATCAATACAAGCATGTTGCCAGATCTGGCAGTTTATTGCCTGATTTGGCAATTTGCCAATAATTTTTAGTTTGGCAATTTTGCTATATTATTATAAATTTATTCTAGGTTTGTTTGAATATTTCCTAAAAACAGGACCAGAGTCTGACCTAAGCAAACTAGACAGTTACAATTGCCTAGGTTCCTGATCTGAAAGATGTCCATAAATTGATTTGTAAACTTTTATTTCTCTATATTTGAATTTAAATGGTTAGTGAACATAGTGAATACTCCCTAAATAAATGAGGTTTCAGGCTTTCATTTATTACTAACACTTGAAGAATATGGATAGAAACAAGTATCAGGATCAGATCATTGGAAAATTATTTATCAGATCATATCAGCAGAATTCAGTATTATATGGTCTCTAATTATATGAAAACAGAAGAACATAACAATTTGTTTATAACTTGTAATTAACACTTGTTACAATGTAAATGAGATTGGAGAGAGGGAATAAACAGAACAATTAGTTTATAGAAATTATTTACAAAGAAATTTCAATAAACAGAAACAATTGCTTGTTTAATAAATTTTTAATAACAACTGCCTCTATTCTATTTATAAACAAATGGACCAGCAATTTAACTGATTCTTGAATGATTGGCTATTGCATATTCATTTTTAGTGTCAAGATTATTGATCTATTTATACTTAATGGTAGTAAATGAAATTATTATAGATAAAATGTACACATTGTACAAGTTACAAATATAATTGTCTTTGATATTGTTGTTATGATATATTTATTTAAGTTATAAATTATATATATATATATATACTAAGCTAAAGAACTTCTTTTGTCAAAGAAAATACTTCACTTTCCAGTATTTTTCATATTTCTCTTGTAGAATGGGCANTATATATATAATTTATAACTTATATAACTTAAGATTATACAAATTATCATAATTTGAATTATAACCTTTTATTACAATTGCCTTTGTCATTTGTTTATATAATCATGAATATATAAAGATACTGATTACAAATACAATTTATAAGAATCATCATAAACTAAAAGAAAATGTGTGTTTTTATATTTTTACTGTCATCTAAGAAAACAAATTACTATACATTCAGTTTTTCTTTAATCCATTAAGTATATGTTTATATTTAATGTGTTCATATAGAATCATGTTTATAATTCCTGGGAACTTCCTCATATATTGACATCATATTTCTGTATCAAATATTTTAGTGTCGTGTCAAGTACATCGTGTGCAGACTTGCATTGTATTTATTTTATTTTAAAATATGAATTTATTATTACTCTGTATAATATGAATTTATTATTGTTCTGTATAATATAATATTTTATATCTGCATACTAATTTTCATAAAAATTTGAGCAGTATTTGAAGTTTATTAAATGTTTTTTTTAAATCCAGACACATTTTTCTACAGGAAACCATAGGATAAGTTTCCTGGTTATATCTATTATCATACTAATTCACCTTGCTGAGAAAAAAAAACTTTGCAATCCAGATGTAATTTTAAATGAGTAAACATTTTCAATCATTGATTTCTTGCTTTAGATCTGTTATTAGCCTACTATGTCACCCCAGAATCATTACCAAGTACAGCTCATTTCACAAATCTTGGTTAGGCTGTAAAAATGCACAGTTTGCAAGCACTAGTCTACGTACTTATCAAAAGGAACAGATTGTGGAATCTTTTACAAAGTCATTGTGCATTACTAACAAAGGGCTCTTGAACTTTTTAAAACTTCCAGACCCCAACTGAGCAACTACCATGCATTGCCCAGTCAAAATGTGTGAAAAAAAATCTGTGAAATTAAGGAAGAGTAAGAGAAAAGATACAGTAATTGCTGCCATAAAACAATTGTTTTACAATACAGTAGAGTGTCGTTTATCCAAACGTCGGTTATCCAAAAGCATTCCAGTCGGCAAATTTAAATTTTCGCTAGTGCTGTGGCACTGCAATCTTTGGCTATATCTTGGGCTACTCCAATATTTTTTTTGTTGGTGTGTGTGTTTTAGCTGGCAGCACTGGCATTTTTGTGTGGTGTTTTTCTGAGGATTGTGTGTCGTGCTGAATCGAATGTTTTTGATACTAGATCAACTTCTAAAGTATATTTTTTTTGGTTTTTATATTTTTCAATAAATTAATTTTGTTTGTACAAAATAAAAAAATGATTTTTAACGATACAATAGTCTTTGTTAGGCTTAACNATTTTTCTTCATTTTTTTACATTAAATTTTAAAATTATCTTAAATAATATAATTTTAAAGGATAGTTAACTTTGGACTATTTTTCTTACATATGCATTAAATTGTATCATGTCATTGGCATCTTCCTACTAAAAATTGGAAAATTTAATATAACATCCACTTTTGACAGGTCTCTGAAAGGTTGCTATAAAGCAAATCTGCTGTATTATATACATTGTAACACAGAGTAGGAGTATATGACAGTGACACACAATGCCAGAGTTAAACTGTCACAGGCAGTCAGATAGATCATATAATTTTAGCTTAAGAAGAAAAAATTATCCTAAGCCAAGACTTCATGTATTTAAAATAAATAAATTTATTTTTTAGTTTAACTTCAATAAAATGCATGTCTAAATAAAAAGATCCAAATATAGGATTTGATAATCTGTTTACTTTGTTTATATAGTTGAATTTTGAAAGCATTATGATTAGTTCTTGAAATCATTGAGATCAAGAATAAAAAGTTAAAACTGAAAATCAACTCTATTGGCTATCTGTAGTTTTAAATACATAAGAAGTTCTAGTATTATTATGATTTTTCAATATGTTTGTAGAATGATATCTTTGTCCATATATTTACAAAATATTTATATATACAGTAAATTCCACTTAATTGGGACACATTGGGACTAATCCATTTTGGCCCAATTAAGCGGCTGCCCCAATTAAACGAACTAATAATAAATTGTACAATAAAATATGTAATACATAGGTAAATAAATAAGTAGGTAAAAAATAATAATTAGGTACCTATTTTAATGCTTTATTAAACCAAAATACAGAAAATATTTGTACTATAAATTTTCCAGACTAATAACAATAGATAACTGATTCGCATAATGCTAGTGTTGCCAAATATTAGTAGTGACATACACAAGGGACTATTGACTGTTCAATCTGTTTCTGATTGAACAATTTTTCCTTTCTTTCTTTTTAGTTAGAACATGTTCTAACTAAAAGGGAGAAAGAAAAGGGTTCGTCCAAAAGTCATTTTATGGTCTTCTTTCGAGCACAGTTTCCTTTACTTGGAGATGGGCCACTTCGGCGGGAGTGTCCGTAGAATCCGCCAGTTCAGTGCTGGTCTCAACAATCGAATGGCTGCTGTCTGAATCTAGTTGTCTGCAGTAAGGACGTAATTATGCATTGTGTGCATAATTACGTTCTTACTGCAGACAACCTGTCAGTCAAATAGAAATTGTACTGTGTTTCACTGGCCAAATGGATGATTATTGGAGTAATGAGATCAACAAAATGTTAACTCAGAGCATAAAACAATTAGCAAGTCTCCATATGCCATTCCAATTATCTTGATCAAGAAATCCCCCAGTGAAAGACAGTTATGCATAAACTATAGAAAGGTAAATGCAACCACTGTAAAGGATGTCTAGCCACTTCCAAGAGATCATGATGCCCCAGACTATCTGCAGAAGGCCTGTACTATGCATCAATGAATCTAAAGTCCAGTCAGGGGTGTTGTTTCCACTATGGAAGGTATGGAAGACTCCATACCTCATATTTTGCAGGTATGGAATGCCTCAGAATATGAAAAAATATTTATAATTTAATGCAAGACAAGCCAAGGCACTTGCTCTCTGTATGAAAACAAATTTTTTCCTTGGATGTTGACCAATCAAACTCTTACATAATCCAAAGTATCAAAATTTTTCTAACTCTAAACAATTCATCACTCAGTAGGTAGCTCTAGATGCAATTTTATTTTTAATTTATCTATATATATATAAAAATGGACGTGTGTGTCCCTATATTTCACTTTTCATCCAAAACTACACATCGCACATGAATGTTGCTTGTATGTGGTAGTAGCACCAAGTCTCCATTCGTGCACTATGGTGGTTGCGTCTCGATAGCTATAAGGGTGCGGGAGATATGGGGGCTTAAAGTGGTTGAGTTTGAAGATTTTTTATTACAATTTTCAAAATGTTCGAACCGTTTTAAATTCAAATTTGTATTCGAATTCGAATTGGTTCGATTATAGAATGATTGTAAACGTTCCAGAAAATTGATCAAATTGAAAATAGTTTGTTTGACTGGACGTAAAAATTCTCTAATTAGTCTGGAAACAGGGGACCTAATTCTTGAATTCTGTGCTATAAGGGTGTGGGAGATATGGGGTTGAAAGTGGTTGACTTCGAAGATGTGTAACAATGGAAGTGTCAACAGTGGAAGTGTTGAGTAACAAAGGAAGTGTTAATATAAAGCGGCATGCAAGATTTACANTAAGTTAACGGACAACAACTTTAACCTTCTTTCTTTATAGAAGTATGTCTTAAAATACCGGAAATTTTAAAAATTAATTTTAGAGGGTAATGCATTTAAAAAAAATTATAATAAATGTTTTAACAAAACACTTAGAAGTAACTGTATTTTCTTGAAATGAACGTGTGACCATAGGGTCGGTATCTCTTCGATACCACGTCAGGATGACACCACTGTATCCTTCGGTCGATACAGAGACCACAAGTTCACGAGAGCGGATAGGTATGAGGGTTGGACCCGGAATGGAGAAACTGAGAGAAAAACGGAAGAAACTGCACTCCAGAAGTTTTAAACATAAAAACCGTTTATTTATATATAATCTAAATTAGGTTTACATCAGCGAATAAAATGCGAACATAAACTACATGAGTCGGGTTCAGTTATTATTTAATTTTTAGTTCAAATTAACGACCGGGTCCGCGTTTTGTTTACGCGGAGAGAGAGAGCGTACAATAGTGCGCGGGCAGGATAAATACCTTGGGTTGTATAGGAGATCAAGTCCAGCACAAAAATAAAGGTCCAACAGTTCTTTCCAGTGAGTAGGTGTTGAGGTCAGTTGAGTCCAGTTGAAGTCTTCTAGTCTTGTAGGTGAGGAGGTTCGGATTCTCGGCGGGAGGTAGACGTTCGGAGCGCGCACAGACACCAATAATAACTTCCACACCCTTACTCATCGTGCCTGTCCCTTTTATATCAAGTCCTCTTTTTCGAACCTTTCTTCGATTTCGTCAGCGATGACGATCTTCTTGGTCCAATGAGGAGACTGGTGACAAAATCGCGACACAGAAAGGTACTCATCTCAACACGGAACCTAACTCGTGGGAATCGAGGTTTTTATTGATTTTATTTTTCCTTTTTCTCTTTTAATTTTCTGTTTTCTCGTTCCGTCTTTATAAAGTTTATTAAACAAAAAATTTTAGTTTAAAGCACAAAATTTCTGGTCCTCACAAACATCATGCCGAATAAACTGCCTAAAATATGAAATTAATCATATTTAACAAAACTGTTAATTCAACGTTAATGAAAACATTCTTCCGAGTAAAATAAAATAATGACACTGTAATTTGACCGACTTAAAAGCAGGAACGGAATTTTCGTGTATAAAGCGATAAAACAATTAACAACTTATTCACATTTATAGTAGTAGTTAGTTAGTGTGGGCTACACTGACCCTTAGGTGAAACATGTCTTTGTTACCTCGATGATGTGATTGTGATTTCTTGTCATTTAGACTTTTCTTGCACCATCTGTTGATGGTCCTTGAATATTTCTGATGGACAAATTTACAGTTGAACCCAAAGAAGACATTTGACCACCCCATATAAGCTGCAGATGGTCCTCAAATTTCTACACTGACCAACCTTCAGCAAGTTCGAACTTCGTAGATTTTTTTGTACAGTAGAATCTCACTAATCCAGCACTATTAAAAATTTGCTAGTAGCAGACTATTAGTATGTAGAGAATAGGATATATAAGTAAAACATGTAGCCTACATAAAATGCAACTTTTCATTATTTAATATACAGTAATCAGTTACAGAAAAGAAAACTACATACAGTATTCTAATGTAGTATAGTATTTATATGATATTGTGTATTTGGTATCAAAAAAGTATTTCTTAGAAAAACAATTTTCAATATGTGTTTGTCTCTTTGCAACCATCCTAGCCTTAAATACTTCTCATAGTATTTGCAACCATCCTAGCCATAAATACTTCTCATAATATTCTTCAGCAGGTATGTCATTCTATAACATGAATTTTTACATACCTGAAAAGCATATGCGAAGCAGGTTAATTAAAAGAGGAGTACCTCAAGCCAGTAGCATTTAATGCTACAGGTCAGAGGGAATGCTCCACTAAATGTAAAAAAAAAATGTAAAAATGTAATGAATTTTTACTCATGTTATGGAATGACACCCTAACTTGAGTAAATGTCTGCTATGCACCCTAATGTAATGTAGTGCCAAATTACTAGATGTGCTGGATTAGTGAGTTTCTACAGTATTATCATTGGGTGTGTTGCCTGTATAGCAGTTTTAATATAGTGGGATAAACAACCAATGACATAACCTATTTCAAATGAAACAAACTTATATATAATAAAATATATTAATTAAAAAAATTAAAAAACTATTGGAGGTTGTTTTTGACATCAGAAAGTAGCTTTAAATAACTTTACTGAAGTCAAATCTGTGCACTACAACTTTAGAATGATTAATTAAATTTGATAAAAAAAATTGCATTAAAAACAATTAAGCGTTAATCGCGCATCATTAAAGGTTGATTAAAATTGTGATAAAAATTTTTTGCGCAGGTAAAAATTTTTGAAAAAATTTGGAGACAAAAAACATTCCAAAAATAAAAAAAAAAATTTTTTTTAAAGTGTTAACGACCGTTAACAATTGTCAATAGGATCAAGTGTTGCCCTTTGTCATTTGTTATAGATGAAGGACCTATAACAACTCCAAATAAGAGACAACTGGATATTTACTGTTCTTCCTTCTCCATAGTCACCATGGTGCTAACCCCCCCAGACAGTGTGGACTTCATTGACTACACTGTGTCAATTTGCACTTGTTTAGATGAGGCCTGGACTCACACATTGGTGGCCCAGGACCACAAGTGGCATTATGATTCCCACTACACTTACACTACATACTCTATCACAGTGATGACTTTGTGTGGGCTTATGTTTTAATCCAGCAACCAGGATGCTCTGAAAAGCTCTTGTGTCACTACTTTAGATCCTACAGAATAATACACCAATATTTTCTGGTAACCTATGAGATTGAAGCTTCCTCTAACATAGAATATTGGATTTCTAAAAATTCTCAACATCATTATTGGTTAACATATGGTTTTGCTTTGTCTCCATCTTAAAGGAGAGGAAATGAAATGGAAGTTTCCTCCTTTTTTTTCTTTGTTTTTTGAACTTCTGGGCTCTCAGCCAATAGAGAATCAACATTTGAGCTTTTCAAATGTTTGGAAAATTTGGACATTCTAGAGATAAATTGCTTCTAAAGAGATTTGATTTATTTTTGACTGCTTTCCACAAAATGTTCAATTTAATATAGTTTTGTTGATTTATTATAGTAAAGCTCCTTTAAAGCTGGAACTTTCTTATAACCAACAAGAGACCACTTTCCTTACTTTTTCTAGCAAACAGTTTCATTATAGCACAAACATTTGTATTATAATAAAATTGTTTGTTGAAAAGTAAGGAAGATGGTTTCTTGTTAATTTATTATAGTTATGGGTTATCCTTTTTGTTATCTTAGTTTTTGTGTTATATTGATTAAAGTTGGTTTTTGTTTGTATAGTGTCTTTGTCAAAGTCTAGTAACAACTCTAGACTAAACATCTTTAGTCTAGAGTTGTTACAATATAAGCATATTTATTAGATGAAAAACATTTCAGTTATAAAAATACCTAGAGATACTCTCATTTTTTCTACTATTCCAAATTATACTGATCTTAATATTGTATTTTCATGGAATGGGTGACATGCCGGTAACTCTGGGATTACCAGCATGCCAGTTAAACTGTGACTAAAATATAAAATTAATCGGATCTAACAAAACTAGTTGTTAATTAAACATTAAAGAAAACATTCTTCCAAGTACAATAAAATAATAACATTGTAATTTGACTAACTTAAAATTAGGAAGAGAGTTTTCATTTACAAAACAATAAAACAATTAATGACTTATTTGCAGTAGTAGAAGTAGTAGTAGTAGTAGTAGTAGTAGTTAGTTAGTGTGGGCTACACTGACCATATATCCTGACCTTAAAAATAACACCTTCCTTTCAAATTTCACACAAAGCCTATGCTAATTGGTGTAAGCCAAGATAATTTACAGCAAGTTTCTTAAATTTAATATGTTTATTTTTGCATTTTTGAATCAAATAACAATAAGATACACATAAAAAAGCACTTTCGAAATTCCATGAGTATTTTACATCGTTAGAAAGAAGACAAAATGAAGAAATTAATGGTTAATTGTAGTTTTTGATGTAATGCTGACAGTTTCACAGTTTTAGAATAAAAACTTGTTCATTTTTTTAACACACCCTCTAGAGAGGAATGTATAACCTCACATTCTGGCATGCTGGTCATTCCATGAAAATACAGTATTAAGTATGATATTAAATATTATAATGATATTTATTCCAAATGAGAAGTGTTATATATTGCAAAAAGGTTAAGAAAAACTTGTTTAGAAAATGGCCTAAGATTTCCATGCTGAATAACAAATAGTGATTACACAAAATGTTAAAAGTACTTCAAACTTCTCTGTCAGATGGGGTAGTCTAATGAAAATAGAAATGTTTGTGTAAAATCAATATTAAAGGACATTATGTTAAAGTGCTTTATGTTAATGATGAAGTACTGTAATGTCTTACTTCAAATCTATGAATTGTGTTAAAAAATGATCCATCTTTGATGGTGTATACCAGTGTTGCTCAAACTTAAGTCCCAGGCCAAATGAATGTGACATAAACATATTTACATTTAGTAGCTTATATATGGAATATACAAAATATGTGGCCACCTACCTGTGACTTATATGTAATTTGGTCAACCAATCAAAAAGTTTGGGCACCACCAGTGTAGATTATAGACTGCTGCACAATTTTCCCACATCATCAAAACATAGATTTTTAATTTTGATTAGTTTTTGTCACATAAAAAAGTCTTGACATGATGAAATGTGATGGGGCATTGTTGTTTGTGTCTGGTAGATGCAAAAGTTAATGGTACCAATAGACCCATTCACTTTTATTTGTGAATGGACTATAGTATTGTTTACATGTCCAGCACTCTTTAAGCTCTCTGTTTAAGAAATGTTTTAAGCTAGATATTCAATAGAATCTGAATTAGTTGTTCAATGCTAAATTGTATACAGTACAGTAGAACCTCGAAAACTCGGCACTCGATAACCCGGCACTCCGGATAACTCGGCCACACCCTGACAGGGCAAAAATACCCTTAGATAATTAATTTTCATCATAGACAGCTTTATGCCTCATAAAGTATTTTTCTGAGGTCTGTCTTATCAGGTAAATTACTGTACACTATGTATTCATTAATTTTCATTTTCATGTAGTAAAGCTCTATGCATTCATAAAGGACATACTTTTCCTTTGTTTAAGGGTATTTGGGCAGTTTATTCTCTGTTGTATTCTCAAGTAAACAATACATACAAGTACAGTACAATATTTTCTGAGGAAACACGGTACTTATCCTTATACTTATCCTTTTTTAACCCCATTCCCGATAACCCGGCATTTTCACAAACTCGGCCACCCTTCGGTCCACATTAGGCCGAGTTTTCGAGGCTCTACTGTATTAAAAAGGCTCATTATTTCAATATGAATTGAGTATACATTTAATATTGTATTCAACTATATTTTTACATTCTTACTTAAAGAACATAATGAATAAAAAATTTTGCTTGGTGAATAAAAATTAAATGCAGCTTTACTGCATAGTTATAAAAACCAAATTGGGATTTCACCATTTCAAAAATGTATTATATATAGTGAAAATATTTTATAAAAGATTACTTGTTTACTTATCTAAGCTTAATATCATGATGAAACGAATGCCAAAAAACCACAATAACACAAATATAAATTTATTACAAATGTGTGTAAGTTTTAAAATAAAATAAACTCGATAAATAATAAAATAAAAAACATTTTTACTCCTCTAAGCAGATATGGAGGTGTTTGAATTTTAAGTGAAAACACGTTTTTCATTTGAAATTTTGCATTTTTACTTCTTCCTCTATTCCTTAAGCATGAGTGGAAAATTTTTTAATACAGTATCTGACATTTACATTTTAGTAATACTCTTTTAACAGTTTGATTTTATCTTAAATATTTTTGTAGATATATGGTCTGGATGAATGGTTGAAAAAAAATAATAAAGCACTTTACTTTTCAGTTATACGCAATTTAAAATTTTAAAAATTTATAATTAAGAGTTATACATTTTTCTTTGAATAGATTTATGTTCGAGCCCAATTTGATTATAATCCTTTGGAAGATGATTTGATACCTTGTGCACAAGCCGGTATTGCCTTTAAAACTGGAGACATTTTACAAGTTATAAGTAAAGACGATCATAATTGGTGGCAAGCAAAGAAAGATGGAGCTGATGGTACTGCTGGATTAATACCGTCACCAGAATTACAAGAATGGCATACAGCTTGTTTAGCAATGGAAAAATCACAAAATGATCAAGGTAAATAATACGTTATATCTTTTTTTTATAAGAAAAAGGAAAAGAAACTGGTAGTAAAATGCAACTACAGTATCTTATCTGGGTCATTTGGATTAAGGTCCATATATGTATATATTTGTGAACCTTGGTTTGTATCTATCTTAGACAATTTTGTTTAAAAACAATGGACACTGTCCATTTACAATATTTTTAAAACAAAAAAAAAAGAAAGTTATAATTACTCAATTATATAACAAGCTTTTTAAAATGACTGAATTAAATTGTTATACATTTATTTAGTTTTACCTTTTACTCTTCAGAAATGAATCTGATATTTATTTCACTTTTAAAGTGAAATTACTGACATTTAAACATTTGGTTAAAGTTTACCTAGGTAGTCTCCAATGGTGGTGCTTTGGTTAGGTTAAGTTAACTACATTTTTAATGGACGTTTCCTTTTTTTTCTTTTGTTCAAGAACTATCTTGAATCAAAAGTAGAATTCTTAAAAATTTTCCCATGCATTTTTCTCATTTCCCTTGTGGAAAAAAATTTTGTAAACAGTTACGTCTAGTAAAGAAAAAATTCTTCTTTATTGTCACATAATTCTTTTTAATGTGAATTTTTTTTTCGCAGTAATTTTTGTCTAAAATTTTTTTTAAAATTTATATTAAATTGTCTTATGGTTATCTATCCATTACAATTTTTTCAGAAGTTTTCAATTTATTTTCAATTTTATATAATTTTTTAAAGTTTCATGCATTTAAGTCATGGCGATTTTTTCCAACCTGCGAGTCGAATTCAAGAAAATGTAATTGACAGTTAACGAATTTCATCCACAATTGTAGATGACGTAACGGTTGTTATGTTTACAACTACGACACCTGGTGGCCTTACTCCCCCGACTGTAAAATGGGTGAAGGTTGTCTCATGTTCTACTTTCTGTAGAAGTGACGTAACAATTGTAAATAAAAGAAAATTTTAGTATATCTTTTATTTAATTTTAAATTTTGTTGTTCAAATTTACACCCAAATATTAAAGCGGTTTAAAACATTAGCATTTGGAAAATATACTTAATTTACATATAACAAATATAAATAAAATTTTAAGAAAACAAAACAATCAAAAAATGTGGAAATATTTTTATGTATTTATCTTCAGATTTATTACATATGTTAAAATAATTCACCGATATTTAATTTTTAAACAATATTCATCATTGGCATGCGTCAGCTATAACTTTTGTAAAAGACACTTCCCTGAGAGGGTCCGATTAACTCTGAACTAGTCGACAGTCTACGTCACCAATCTAATGCGTGATTTACTTTCTCTAACAGTAAAACAAAGTAAGTTACAGTACAACAACACACATAAACACTAACTATAATGATCCAAACAAATTCTTAAAGTTCTTCTAAAATCCTCCATTCGGTCTTTGATATAGTTCTATGTAATAGCACTAAATCAATAGAGTTTCTAACTTACAGGCTTATAAACGATAAAAAACATAAATGTTTCAAAATTAGGACTAGATAATCATATGCAAAAATAAAGTAGTAAGTCTATAATACATACTCTCACTTATATCCAAGTATTATATCCAAAGATCAGTTCTCGCTAATTCTCAAAAATAAATTATTTTTCAACTTTTCTTTCTGTAGCATATTCTGAAACAAGTTCTAAATTCACAGCAAAATTTCCACCTTATATCCATTAAAAACAGCACATAATGTATCCATCCACAAAATAAAAATTTATTGCAGTGAACTTCGAAAAAACTGAGAAACACCAAGGAAACACTAAACCAAACTCTACAAAATCTGGGGCAAACTGATGCATATGGGATAGACTGAAAATACTCCTCACGTGACCAAAGGTTACATTTTTCTGAATAAACGCAAAAAATTTTAAAAAATTCTTCCATGAAACCTGATGAATTTAATTAATACACAATAACTAGACCTGTTTAATAAAGATTAATAATTTACCATTATAATTATGCAAATTACATATAAAAAAGATCACTGCGCAAAATCTCCCGCAGACCATGGGATGACTATAACGTCATGTGACATTGAAACTTTCCTGCTAAACACTAAAAATTTAATATAATTATTTTATTAATCCAGTCAAATTTAAATAATATAAAATATCTAGATCTGTTTAATAAAAATTAGTAATGTACTATCACAAATACAAATTAGATATGAAACAGATCACTGCTGAAAATCTCCCGCCAAGAGGATAAATATAGAACGATAACATGACCTAATGCTAACACCAAGAAATATGAAAAAATATGTTTAAAATTTAATGTTTTGGGTACAAATTAATAAAAGTTAACAAATGTCAATATTTATAATTTAGTGTTTTTGTACAAATTAGTAAATTGTAACAAATTTCATCAAAGACAAGAGAATAATTTTCAGCTTAAATAAACTGTACAATAAATGATTATTTCTTCGAAAGAAGTCAATATACACGAATAAATAATAATTATTTAATAATGCTTTTATCCATTTTAAGTCAATATTGTAAAAATTAAGCTATTTAATTTGGCTTTTATTACTTAGAGTTTCCAAGTATTTTACTGTAAAATTCAATTTATTGAACAAAAACAAAGCTAAACTATTAAATATAAACAGGACAATACAATAATTTTCACGTAAATTGAGTGTAAATACAGAAAAAAACGAATTATATCAAAGATTGGATGAATAAGCTGACATCCCTCCAACAGAGCTTAGAATTTATTGTCATTTTTTGCTTGGTTGCTATTTCAACTGTTTTTTGTTGGTAAAAATTTAATGTTTTAGGATAAAAGTACGTATTCTTAGTGAAAGAAGATGAAAGTATCGAAATATAATATTCAAATGTAAAAATATTCATGTATGTCGATATTAGAAATGTATATTTTTTTTTGATATTTGGAATAATATCATGACAAAAACATAAGATATATGAAACACAGGCCATAAACAACTTCTTTCTGTCAAATAAATTATGGATTAGACAGGTTTATTTAGAAAAATTCAGTTGCGAATAACTGACGTTAAATATACAGACAGTACAGTATACTTTTTATGTGAGAGTATCTGCATTTACAAATTAACAGAATTTTCAGTTTTTATACACATTATTATGCTATAATGTATGTGTAATACATAATACATACTACAGAAAGTGTAATAAAGGAACATCAGTTATTGTAACTAATGTATTATTGAAAGTTTTATTCATATAGATAATTAATTTTATCAAGAAACATTTTTTCAGAAGAAAATTGTTGATATTTCACATAAATATAAGTAAATTTTATTCGGTTTTTGCGGTTTTTTCATTGTTGGGATTGATTGTAAATTTTTAAATATAAATTTTGATTTCCTTTACAAATAAAGTAATTTTTATGTCTCTGTTTCACTGTTTTGTAAAATTTTTATTAGTTATAGTATTGTATTGTCCTGTTTATATTTAACAGCTTAGCTTTGTTTCTGTTCAATAAATTGAATTTTACAGTAAAATACTTGGAAACTCTAAGTAATAAAAGCCAAATTAAATAGTTTAATTTTTACAATATTGACTTAAAATGGATAAAAGCATTATTAAATAATTATTATTTATTCGTGTATATTGACTTCTTTCGAAGAAATAATCATTTATTGTACAGTTTATTTAAGCTGAAAATTATTCTCTTGTCTTTGATGAAATTTGTTACAATTTACTAATTTGTACAAAAACATTAAATTATAAATATTGACATTTGTTAACTTTTATTAATTTGTACCCAAAACAAAGGAAATACTGAGTCTAGCTGAAGTTAACAAAAATATATATAAAACTATGGCCGACGGTCACATCCTTATAACGCAACAAAAATTTTGTGGCTTAAACTCATACAGTGCAATAAACAGTCCCATGTAATGCATAAGATAAATTTAACGTTTTCACATAGTTTCAGATTTTTTGTTTAGAAAAGTGAAAATATACACTTACCAGTTGTTTATATACGAACAGTGAAGCCAACAGTTTAAAAATGAATTTTTTTATTGTAAATAATCCTCAACCTCTGGTACAAAACAGTTCTAAAAACCAATTTTTAAACATTTCACATATAATCCATGCTTTTTTATTAGCTCTCCAGTGAACAGGAAGCATTGATTTGTCTAAGTTTTTCATTACACATGGACTTAATGTACAATTAATTAACATTAGCTTAGTTATATGTTCTCCAGTTGCATTAGAACACAAAAGTAAAGGTTGTAAACTCCGCGAGGCACATGGTCTGCAGTTTCAGATACACGAGGAAAAGAACAAAGGGAAGGACAATGAACAGTCGGTGGAAACGTGTAACTAGACAAACAAAAGTTCATTTTAGTCGAAAAACGTGGTACAATATTAATACGAAGATACAGTTCAATACCAGACACATACAGCATAANATTTAAATAATATAAAATGTCTAGATCTGTTTAATAAAGATTAGTACAGTAATGTAATATCACAAATATGCAAATTAGATATGAAACAGATGGCTGCTGAAAATCTCCAGCCAAGTTAATAAATATAGAACGATCACGTGACCATAAGCTAACACCAACAAATATGAAAAAATGTGTTTAAAATTTAATGTTTTGTACAAATTAGTAAATTGTAACAAATTTCATCAAAGACAAGAGAATAATTTTCAGCTTAAATAAACTGTACAATAAATGATTATTTCTTCGAAAGAAGTCAATATACACGAATAAATAATAATTATTTAATAATGCTTTTATCCATTTTAAGTCAATATTGTAAAAATTAAGCTATTTAATTTGGCTTTTATTACTTAGAGTTTCCAAGTATTTTACTGTAAAATTCAATTTATTGAACAAAAACAAAGCTAAACTATTAAATATAAACAGGACAATACAATAATTTTCACGTAAATTGAGTGTAAATACAGAAAAAAACGAATTATATCAAAGATTGGATGAATAAGCTGACATCCCTCCAACAGAGCTTAGAATTTATTGTCATTTT